CATGGCCCCGGGCCACGAGCTCCTGTAGTATTTTCTCCATGTTCAGCCAGTGGCTGTTGTCAGCCGGCCACACCAACACCTTGCCGCCGGAGCCCCAGCCCAACAGGGCCAGCAGCCACAGCACGGTGACCTCCTTCCCTGCCATAGCCTGCCCTGTGTGGCAATGCCCCTGTGGCCTCCTTCACCCGGAGCGGCGGCACTCCCGAATTGGCCTGGGCATGCGTGACACTGCTTTGATCCCGAGGGCAGGGAACCAAAGGTTGGTGGTGAAATCCTGTCCTGGATAATAACATGTTTAAAAGCATGTTTTCCTAGGGGATAAAAAAGGTGACTGGCACCAGCTGGCACTCTGTGATGGTAAACAACTTGCTGAAAGTAGAAGATGTGATTTCTCTGGAGCAGCAGGGAGAGCCATCAGCCCCRGGGCACTGAATCCAATGAGGATTGCATTATGTTGATAATCCCATCCGTCCTGCCTGTCTAACTACAATCTCTGTTACTTGTTTGGTAGAAAAGGTGACTTTTTTGTTCTTCTGGCTCTTTCAAACACAGCTGGGTAGGCAGCAAGGATGTTCACTGACTGTGTGGGCACCCTTTTGCTTTTATAAAGCCACAGAGCATCCCTTAAGAACAMACTTAAAGCAGTGAACCGGGGCTGCAGCCGAAGAGTTGCATCTCAAAGTGGATGAAACTACACAGCAAATGACTCCAGTGTCAGACTGTCCTCATGTGAACTTGCCTCTTCCGAAGCATTCATCATGGGAGACCAAGAGAGGATAATTCAGGCTTCCTGCCTGCCACTAAGTGCCAATTATGCACTATAAATTGAACCAGAAAATCCATTAAACAGTTTTATTTATATGGTCATTTCTGGTGTGCAATTAAGAAATAATGTAAGTTCTCTTCACCATGCTAAAAATCATTATTACAGGGTTTCTGCCCATTTATGTTACACAGTGGTTTCCTAATATAGCTGTGCAAGGCTTTTGCTATGGTTTCCATGCTGCCTGGAGCATACTTTCTGGAATGAAAATGTGGGTAATTGAAACAACTAGACTGTGAGAAGCCAAGCTGAGATACCTCATCTATTGTAGGCAGGCATTTGCAGGCAATTGAACCATGAGAGATGTGCAAGAGGTCATTTTGAAGAGCTCAATGTGAGGGTAGTAGAAATGGCATGAGGATCACATGTGATTAATAATAAACATATTTTTCTGCATAATCACTCCAAATAGTGCAGAAGAAAAGCCTGCAGAGAGGACTTGTTGTTTTCACTCTTTGCTTATGGGTGGGAGGGTATGTTCTAAATAAAGCTTGTTTTGTGCAGAGAGAATTGGTTTTATATGACCAGTGAYATAACTCAAGTCTCTATTACGAAGCCACAATGCACTTAAGCACTGCTACTGCAGGCAGGACTGGCTTGTAATCCACCAGCTCCCTACTCCTTGTTACAGTCCTCTGGATTAGGAAAACATCTCCCCTTCTTGGCTGCTTTCTGTGCAAGCAATCACCCTTGCTGAGTGCCCTGTATGGTGTGGAAGTCGTATCAAACTCCACACTAAAATGAATTATGACAAAAGTCAGATCCATCAATTGGAATAACCCTCATCCTGTCTCAGTGCAAAGGCATAGCAGCGCAGCACCCTGACTGATGGTGGCTCATCCCTTTTTTAAGGACGCAATGACAACCCTCTTGCTGACCTGTCACTTGACTTTGTGGCCCTGCCAGTTCCTAGCTCTGCAGGTCGTAAGGATGGACGCTGTATAACGAGAAGTAAAGTATCCGAAGGCTTACCTAAGACCTTGCTGTAGTAGGTATCCCAATGTCCCCAGTAGCTCTGGAAAACGTAGTCTTGCAGGTGGTAAGATACAAAGTTTTTTACCCTCTCCAAAAAGGACATGTGGTCAGTGAGCTCAGACAGGGCTGCGGGCGTGTAGGATGGTGGGGTTGGGATCTTGCCACAGTGCCTTTCCAGAGTGAAGGCTGGGGAGAAACGTAGAGAGTAGACAAAGGGAATGCCCAGCTTGAGAGCTATGAGCTCCCCACAGGGCGTCACTGGGTCTGACAGCAGCAGATCAAAGCCAGACCTCTGCAGACGAGCCATCAGCTCTTGGTTGGTCAGCACTGCATCACACATGAGCTTGTTCATCTCCTGCCAGCTTACAGAGAGTCTTCCCAGTTCCTTGTAAAACTGCCAGAAGGTCAGGATGGTTGGCCTGTTGTTGAGCCATAGATCCACTATTCCATTAATCAGGCTCTCAGGGACATCTTTCTTGAAGGGCACATAATAGGTCTCAAACTTCTCCGTGGCCTTAGGCTTGGGATCAATGAAGAGGGTGGCGTTGGACACCAGGATGGTAAAGCTGTGCCCGTGGCGGATGAGCTCCTGGATCATCACATTCATATTCAGCCAGTGGCTGCCTTCTGTTGGCCACACCAGTATCTTCCCACAGAAGACAGGCCCTAGAAAAGCAACCTGAAAAAGGAGCAGCTGGAGGTATTTCTTTGAGCTGGTTGTTTTCATGGCCATGGCAAAGTCAAAGGCTAGATAGCCTGGGGATTTTCCCTTCCAGTTGGGAGTGCTGCACCCCTGTGTTGTGTTGGATGGTTCCTTCCCAGCACTCTGTGTTGGTCTGAGCTCTGAAAAGGAAAAAAAGATATTTGGTGATTCACTTTTCCCATTCTGCCTTCTACCCTGTTATCTTCCCCCTGAGGGAGCTCCTTTCCCTGCTTAGGAGGGTGACAGCAATCCTCACTGCTGTCAAAGGAGCCAGACACCTGGATGCCAGCTCTGAGATTCAAACAAATCCCTTGCATTTTTTCCATGAACTAGTGATGCCTAGGCAGGCCAGGGAATGAGAGGGCACAGGGCTGGCTTGGAAGTGGCATCCTTTTTCACACTGAGATGCTAGAAATGCTGACATTTCTTATGCTGAGAGGAGTCAACAAATCCTTCATTTGGTTGATAATAATGCCAAAAATGACATGTAATTAGTTCTAATAGGTGACTGGTGGCTTCCAACTGCTCCCAGACAACTTTTAAGACAGGGAATCCATTGCCACTTCTTGGGGCATGTCACCATGAACCTGGTCATATTGTAGGCTCAGTTTAGGTGTCTAAACATGGGTCTATGCCATGAACCTCTTCTTTAGCCCTAAAGGTGCTAAAGAGCAAAACCAACATCTTYTGGGATGGCTCTCACTTGGAAAGTTGTCCCTTGAATATAAATGCAGTGTCTAGAAGCAGCTCTTTAACCACCAGGAGCCAGAAAGACAACTAAAACCCACACATATAATGATACACTTGATCCAACACAATTTGGGGAACAAATGCCATGCAGCAAAATGGCTCTTACCTAGCAGAGTCTTCCAAGGTATATAAACATCGTCCTCTGAGTTGCAAGGTGCAATTTGCTACACTGGTTTGCTTCTGTTCCTTGCTGCTCCCCTCCTCTGTGCCTGGGCTGCTCCACAGGGTTGGTTTTCAGGCAGAAGGAGCTTGTTAGTTACCCTCTGAACTGGACTTTACAAAGGGAGGAAGTAATAAAATACGGGATAATGGCAACAAGGCATGTATTCTGTGTTTATTCATTGCTTTGTTATGCTCTGGGAATTTAATAGTTGAGATGGTCTTTCCCTTGCCAGGATATATTATAGTGTTATTCTAGAGCTAGGTTCTCAGGAGGACTTTGTAACCTAGAGATAAGAAATATGTTGTCTGATTGCTAAAAAGACATTTTTATTCCCTCTAGGGTCCCAGGTGTCAAAACAAAATGGTTTGTTAAGTAGTAGATTTGTTTATAAACTGCAAACAGGAACAAAGAATGAATCTTGTAGTTTGTTTGCAGAGGTTTTCAAAAGTTGGTGCTGTCTGTATGCGTTTCCAAAAGTTGCTGTGTTACCTGTGTTGGCTTTGTGGCCTTTGATTCTGGAGATCTAGGAAAGTGTTTAATAATCTGGAAATACAGGAATCTGAAGGTGCATCTCAATGATTTTTAAGTATTTTCCATAATATTCAACAGGGCTTTTTCTAAACCCTGAGCATCCAGGACTGTTATGCCAGCATGTTTCAAGAGTAATTTGGCCTACGGCCAGGAATTTCACTACAGTCTCTCCAKAGACCTTTGTATCCAAAGTAAGATTAAGATTTTTTTGTCAGGCTAATTTAGCTTACTTTTTGAAGTCCTGTAAGAAACCTAAAGCTTTTCCAGCAACTGTTGAAAGACTGTGTTCATATGGGCTAGAGCAGATCACAGAATCATAGAATATCCTGAGTTAGAAGGGACTCACAAGCTTCAWCAAAGTCCAGCTCCTGTCCCTGCACAGGACAGCCCCAAGGATCACATCATGTGCCTAAAAGCATTGTCCAAACCCTTCTTGAACTCTGTCAGGCTGGGTGCTGTRACCACTTCTCTGGATAAAAACTTAGTTGGGAACTTATTTTTTGTTTCCAACCCCTTAGTGTTAAATTCATCCATTGCAAATGTGAGCAASTGCTAGGGGATCCTAAGACTTAAATTTGTCTTGTTTCTGTGGCCAGCTCTAAAGATGATACTCAGATTACTCAGATCGGAGAAGATAAGCATTTTGAGAGGATTAAAGAACAAAATGCAGCAAATGAGAAAGAACTGGGGCAGAAGAAAGTAGATRGTGTTAAGTGCCGGTTTTTCACACATCTAACCTTACCAATGCAAGTGCTGCAGACAGTGAGGCAATCTCCAGCCTTGTTAAATTACAACAGGCTTTTCAAGGCTAAGGCCCTCATTCAAAAGTTAGGCAATGCAAACTAACTGTGTTTTCCACACACGGGTCTCTTCACCATTGTGCTGGCTAGCAGGGGGTTGTGGTGTGCATRGCACTTTGATTCCTAGAAAACCTCGATGCCAACCAGAACTTCAAAAATTCAGGACCAGGGTGGAAAAGGAAAACTTTTGCACCGARGAAGCACCAAATGACTCTGTGCTTTCCCTTTCACTTAATGTAATGACTCAACTTCTGGTCTGACTTCAAAGTCTTGACTACCTTTTTTTTGTGGGGGAGGGGGTAGGGTGGGAAGGGAAAGGGAGGATACCAGATTGGGAAAATTTCAAAGTTGGCTCATCCCTGAGAACACAAAGAAATGACAGGATTGAGCAATTCTGCAGTCACGTGTGTATGTGCGCAGTAAAAGGATTGTAATCCCCAGGGCATAGAGAAACTCCAACAAAAGTTAATGAAATGAAATAGCCTCACCATGACCGTCTTTATTGAATAAATTGTATTTTTATACCTCTAGCCTGTTGCTGCAGGATGAAAATACCAGGACCTAGGTTTATCGAATTGCACTTGGATTTTTTGATTYAATTTAAGGTTTTATGGGCTCTCTTCACTGCTTCTGAAATGCTGCAGGGGCACCTTGGCATATGAGCAGCAGACACCAGCGGGGCTGGCACTGGAGCCATTTCCCCTTTGCAAAGCCAAACCAATAAAGAAAGGAGAGAAGGTTCAGGCCAAGCTTGGTGTCCCTGCTAGGAACCTGCATTGCTGGTGGAGAATTGGTGCTGCACCCTGCCTTCATCAGCTTTACAGTGAGGAACAGYGGCAGACTTGCCCAAGCTCCCTGCAGATGTGGCACACTCCTGCCTTGCCAGTGTCTGTCCATCCTCCTGGGGAAATCTGCGTGCTACGGTGATGGGCAGATCTGCCAATCCCAAGGGCATAGACATGATGGGACTCATCTAATGGCTCACCAGCCCAGAAAGGAGGAGCTGCTCTCTCCATTCCACCTTTCCGTGCGTGTTTGCTGTTCGTGCTCCCATGGCAAGCCTTTCCCCGTGACTTTCCCAGTCAGCCTGCCAAAGGGTTGTATTAGTGGGACAGCTTGCTGCTGGGGCAGGAAGCAGATGGGCAAAGACCTGGCAGGCTCCCATGGCCAGGGCAGCCTGGTCAGCTGGCACYGCACCTGCCCAGGAGCAGCAGTGATAGCACCAGTGCACAGACCAGAGTGCCATCGCTGCAGACACCGCTGGGGACAGGGGTCCCCAACCGCAGAGCCCCAGCAAGGGCAGCAGTGCCCACAGCGTGTGCCAGCATCACCCAGAGCAAGCACCTCTCCCCTTGCCTCAGCACCACAGGGAGTGGGGAATTGGTTCCCTAGGGTTACTGCAGCACACCCAGATGAAAGGAAGGATTAGGGGTGCTGATTGTACCCAAACCCAAAGTACCTCAAACCCATCACCCTGGACTCCACAGCATGCAGCTCTGTGTRGCAGAGCAGGGACAGGAAACCTACAGGGCAGCCCGAGACACCCATCTCACCTCAGACCTRCTGCTCTACGCCGGGAAAGGGACGCCAGTACGGTGACACCAAGAGGGTAACACCAGCAGGGTGACACCAGCAGGGTGACAATGGGAGGGTGACGGCARCAGTTTTTACAGGCAGAGGCAAGCAGGCAAGGGCAGTAATGTTTGCTAACGCTGTGGCTGCTGGGAGGGAGGAGCGAGTGAAGGGAGAAAMCAGCAGCCACTGACCTGCAGGCAGGGCCACAGTGGACATCTCCAGCCCCACCAGTGCTGTTCTCCCCCACAGGCCCCAAACCATGTCCCACTGTGGGAGGATGGGGAGGGCACCTCACTGCCCACACCCACCCAACATGTTCCCCACACACAGATTTGCCTAAATCCACTGCGATCCCACAAACTGCTGCTGGCAATCCCCCCACCACAGCAGCTGAGGGGTGACACCTGCTTGTCCCCAATGCAAGGAGAGGACAGCAGCCCCAGGAGGACGGCTGGGTTGGGATCAGCACAGGCGCAGGGCAGTGAGCACCCCAAGGCAGGGTCAGGGAGCACATTTTATTTCTCTCCAGCAGTCCCAGGGCAGATAAAGGAGCCCCTGGCACGGCAGCAGCACCATCAGCACAGGGCGGRTTTTGGGGGTGTGCGGCGGGGTCTCCTCAGATCTGAGTGCGGAAGCGCAGGTCGGTGCCCGCCATCTTCTCTGCATAGTCCCGGTCGAAGCGCTCRTTCTGGGCCACGGTGAAGTGGTTCTTCCAGTCTCCGGTGGTGCCTGTGGGCGGTGGGGACAGAGGGGATCAGTAGGGCCGGGGGGACACCACGCCTGAGGCCCCCGCAGCCGCTCACCTTTGCGCATGAACGGGGATACGCTGTGGTCCATGAGCTCGGGCGGCACCTTCCTGTAGTTGGTGGCGGGGTTGTCCCGCATGACTTCGAAGGACGTGTGCCGCGTGATGGTGTCCAGCGCCGCCTCCGACAGTTCCTGCCCCAGGAACTGGGCCACCTTGACAATCTCCCGGCGGAGGTCCTGTGGGACACGGACCAACGCTCACCCCTCCTGCCACCCCCAGAYCCCACCCCACYATCCACCTCACTCCATCACCTCCTTCAAGTCCTCGTAGAACAGGTAGAGAATGGGGTGATCCTTCCTGCGCTCCCAGTAGCCCTTCACGTGGCTGTACCAGGAGCCATATGCCACTGCATGGGGAGAGAAGCCAGTGGGTGACAGTCYCCYGYGGGGTCCCMCACACGCACCYARGGGTGCCCTGTCCCACCTCTGCCAGCCATGAACTCCTCCAGGTACTGGGCCCATGTCCCGGGATGCGGCTCCAACTGGTTCATCAGATCAAAGTGGTAGTAGGAGACAGCCACATCCTTGGCRTTGCGCCCCACGTAGATCATCTGCAGATGGGCCATGGGGATATGAGGGGCAGCCCCGCGACCCCCAGTAGGGAGGATGCTCCAGCTCATAGAGCTCCCATGACCACTTAGGATGCTGGAGGGAGCAGCGGGGTGTTCTGTCTTAGGGAAACACGGGAGCTGCAATACCCCCCGGGGCAGGGTCCGGGGTTGGGGGTTACCTTGCAGCCGTTTTCCCAGAAGGTTTTGGGCAGGATACGTGCCGGCAGGTGAGTCTTCACCACACGGGGTGAGGGCATAGTGGCCAGCAGGTCTGTTCCTGGGGGATCCCAGAGCACCTCCTCAGTGAGCACTTGGCAAGGACCCTTGGAACTCAGCCCCTGTGGGGTGTCCCTGCACCTCGCTACCTGCTGCAATCTTCCCAGGGACAGAGAACTCCAGCATGGGCACCCTCTTGCTGATAATGTCCCGCTTGCACTTCTCAGGGTCTGCGCCTTGCAGGATCATATCCACAATCTCGCTGACCCAGGTGGTGCCTAGGGAAAGGAATCCATCAAGGGGAGCAGCCTGGGTAGCATTGGGTGTCTCAGCACTGACAGTCCCTCAGACATTAAGCAGATGCCATGGGAAAATCTGGAAATACCACACAAGTCTGTCCTGATGGCCCCCAGATGTGTGGCATGCCCCAAACAACACAATTGCCCACCACTATTGCCACCCACATCTGGTGGGCTTGGGGATGCTCACCAGATTTGGGGAAGGTGACCACCACAATGTCCTCGGGGCGGCTCTGGAAGGTGTCGACCCGTTCCCAGTTGTGGGCGAAGGCATTGATCATGGGGATGCCATGCACTGTCAGCCGGGGCTGTCGCAGGTAGGCGTCCGGATCAGCCATCCTGCTGGGGACAGGGACACGTGGCAGGGCTGACTGATGAGGGGAGGCACCCCCATCTTCCCAGGGCGGCCATCAGGCAGGGCAGTGCGGTCACCTGGCACCGTGCCTGCCCAGGGAGTGGCAGCGATAGCACCAGTGCATAGATCAGAGGTCACTGCGGCCATCGCTGCACGCACAGGAGTGGGTACAGCCATGGGACAGGGGTGGGTGCATCTGGGGACAGGGGCCCCAGCTGTGGGGACAGAAGCACCAGAGCCTCAGTAAGGGCAGGGGCGCCCACAGCAAGCCAGCATCACCCAAACTGAGGGGACTAGACAAGACTAGCACCTCTCCCCTTTCCTCAGCACCCCAGGGGAGCAGGGAGCTGGTTCCCTGGGGTTATTGCAGCACATCCCAGATCAGAGGAAGGATTAGAGGTGCTGGTTGTACCCAAACCCAAAATGCACCAAACCCACCACCCTGGACCCCACAGCATGCAGCTGTGAGTGGCAGAGCATTGACAGGACACCTACAGGGCAGCCCAGGATACCCATCTCACCTCAGACCTCCTGCTCTACGCCGGGAGAAGGATGCTGTGACAGTGACACCAAGAGGGTGACAGCAGAGGACAGGGAGACTCGGGGACTCACAGCGGTTTTTACAGGAAGAAGGAAAGAGGCAGGGCGTGAGGGCAGTAATGTTTGCCAGAGCAGCAGCTGCTGGGAGGGAGGAGCGAGCGCAGGGAGAAAACAGCAGCCACTGACCTGCAGGCAGGGCCACAGDGGAMATCTCCAGCCCYACCAGTGCTGTTCTCCCCCACWGGCCCCARRCCRTGTCCCMCTGTGGGAGGATGGGGAGGGCACCTCACTGCCCACACCCACCCAACATGTTCCCCACACACAGATTTGCCTAAATCCACTGCGATCCCACAAACTGCTGCTGGCAATCCCCCCACCACAGCAGCTGAGGGGTGACACCTGCTTGTCCCCAATGCAAGGAGAGGACAGCAGCCCCAGGAGGACGGCTGGGTTGGGATCAGCACAGGCGCAGGGCAGTGAGCACCCCAAGGCAGGGTCAGGGAGCACATTTTATTTCTCTCCAGCAGTCCCAGGGCAGATAAAGGAGCCCCTGGCACGGCAGCAGCGCCATCAGCACAGGGCGGATTTTGGGGGTGTGTGGCGGGGTCTCCTCAGATCTGAGTGCGGAAGCGCAGGTCGGTGCCCGCCATCTTCTCTGCATAGTCCCGGTCGAAGCGCTCATTCTGGGCCACGGTGAAGTGGTTCTTCCAGTCTCCGGTGGTGCCTGCGGGCGGTGGGGACAGAGGGGATCAGTAGGGCCGGGGGGACACCACGCCTGAGGCCCCYGCAGCCGCTCACCTTTGCGCATGAACGGGGATACGCTGTGGTCCATGAGCTCGGGCGGCACCTTCCTGTARTTGGTGGCGGGGTTGTCCCGCATGACTTCGAAGGACGTGTGCCGCGTGATGGTGTCCAGCGCCGCCTCCGACAGCTCCTGCCCCAGGAACTGGGCCACCTTGACAATCTCCCGGCGGAGGTCCTGTGGGACACGGACCAACGCTCACCCCTCCTGCCACCCCCAGAYCCCACCCCACCATCCACCTCACTCCATCACCTCCTTCAAGTCCTCGTAGAACAGGTAGAGAATGGGGTGATCCTTCCTGCGCTCCCAGTAGCCCTTCACGTGGCTGTACCAGGAGCCATATGCCACTGCATGGGGAGAGAAGCCAGTGGGTGACAGTCCCCCGCGGGGTCCCACACACGCACCCAAGGGTGCCCTGTCCCACCTCTGCCAGCCATGAACTCCTCCAGGTACTGGGCCCATGTCCCGGGGTGTGGGTGGAACTTGTTCATCAGATCAAAGTGGTAGTAGGAGACAGCCACATCCTTGGCATTGCGCCCCACGTAGATCATCTGCAGAAAGCTTGGTGGCATGTGGGGACTTGCAAGGTCCCAACGGGGCAGGTAGCCTCCTTAYGTCTGTGCGATCCCTCCAAGTTTGTTCACTCTAGCTTGTTACCTTGCAGCGGTTTTCCCAGAAGCATTTGGGCAAAATGTCAGCTGGGATGTGGGTCTTGATGATGCGAGGGGATGGCATGGCTTCCAGCTGGTCCGTGCCTGTGAGGATTTCCCCTTCGCTTAGAAGGAGTGATCCCACTGCGGTGCCCTTCCATACAAAACCAAACCTGTCCCAGTCCAGCACCCATTGCCACCCACCACCCTCTGACACCCCACTACCTGCTGGCATCTTCCCAGGAGCAGCCATCTCCAACATGGGCACCCGGTTCACAATCTCATCCTGCTTGCATTTTTCTGCATCACCGCGTTTCAGGACCATGTCCACGATCTCACTGACCCAGGTGGTGCCTGGCAGGGAGAGGTCAAGTGTCTGGCTGATGCCACCCCCACCGGAGTCCCATCTCAGACACCAGAGGGTCACCATCTACCAGTGTTTCCTTTTGGGACGCCCCTGGTCTCAGGACAGGCATCTGCAGATTGGTACCTGCCTTCCTGAGCATGGCCCCTCTCTGGTGCCTGGGGATGCTCACCAGATTTGGGGAAGGTGACCACCACGATGTCATCGGGGCGGGTCTGGAAGTTGTCAATCCGCTCCCAGTTGAGGGCAAAGGCGCTGACCATGGGGATGCCATGCACAGTGCGCCAGGGCTGCCGCAGATATGTGTCCGAATCGGCCATCCTGCTGGGGACAGGGACACGTGGCAGTGCTGGCAGGGCAGCGAGGAGTATTATGGGGCCACCTCCTTCCCTCGGGGCCCCAAAATCCCTGCCAAACCCAGCCATCCTGGCCACAGGAAGCAAACCATTCCCTGCTTGCTGGTATCGCAGGAGGTGGCACCTGTCTTCCGTGGGGATTTTGGGGGAAGTTGGTGGTGCAGGGAGTGTGGGAAGTCATGGCCAGCTCCGGGGGGCTCAGGTCAGAGGTAGCAGGCAGTTGCCTGTATCAAGCTGGCAGRGTTGTTCCTGGGTATAAAGGCTCACAGGCATTTCTGGCTGGAGTTGCAGGCTGCTTTCTCTTTGGTTTTTCCTCCCCATCTCTCGGTTGTACGGCAGCATGGGGAAGCCTTGCTTCCAGGGGGCTAGATTGGGGGTTTGACAGAGCCAGGATCGGGGAGCAGGGCTCACAGGACTCTCTATAGGAAGCCTTTCCACCCACCAGCCAGGAAAGAAACACTGGACATGCTAGCTGCAAAACCCCCACGCTGTGATTTTTGGAGAGAGGCTTGGTCTTTTGCTTCCAGTCTCCCAGGGGCTTGCGGGGACACTGAGACCCCGTGAGCCCCCTTATCCCCCCAAGCAGGCCCCCCGCCTATGAGGCCAAATGACCGTGGCCAAGGACCCTTCGGTTACTTGCCTCTTTTCCGGGTGCTCTGGCAGGGAGKAGGCAAAGCTTTGGCCGCCGCTTACGGGGCGGGATTTGTTATTTTCCTTCCCCTGCACGGAAGATGGAGGCGCAGGGAGGCGGGGGACACCGCTGGGACAGGAGCCTGCAGCGACATGGTCCCGTTGCTGCGGTGGGAGAAGGGCAGGGAGGGGGCGAGCGGGGCTGGGGACGGTCCCCAGATGGGGATGACCTGTGATGAGCTGTGCCGTGCTCAGCACCTGCCGGGACGCACACGGGTAGCGGGAGCGGAAATCACAGCTTCCCACTCTAACCGCAGCGGTAAACACAGGGAGGAAATCCCAACCCACATCCCGCGGGATTGAATATCACCCTGTCCTGATCCAAGAGTCACCTGCGTGGCCGACCTCAGCTCCTCACACCGACGTGGGGCTTGCAGGCACGATGTGGGGATCGGGCTTCGGTCGTACCCYCACTCCACTCAAACACGAGTCCAAAGTTTGCAGGRTTGCAAAGCACAAGTGCTTCTGGGAAGGGTGTTTAAAGGTGCCGCCGATGGTAAATGCTCCTCCTCATCTGCTTCCCACAGGACATCTCCGAGCCAGGAGCAAATGGAAAGGGCAGGAGAGATGGCAGCTGGGCAGGGCCAGCAGCTCAGCTGTTGGCAGCCTTGAGAGAAAC